CCGACCTTCTTGGCTCTGTCTTGACACCGTATCCAGGTGGGTGAGGGGTGGAGGAAGTGCGGTAGGTGTAGATCGCACGCAACGGTCGATCTGTCATGTGGTTCGTCCTGAGTTGCCTGAGTAATGGTCGCGCAGATACCAGCTGGTCGGTGCCAGTATGTCTCTCTGTCACCTCTCACGTATGTCGGAAGTGCGTTCCTCGGCTCCTGCGTGGGATGCATGACACGAGCCTGAGGCCATCGTGGTGCGTTAAACACCGCGGCTTGACGCGCTTAAAGCTATCATGGTGCGGTAAAAGCCGTGGCTTGGAAGGCTGCCAACTGAGGGGATAACTTGGACCTCGCAGTCGGCCCAGCGTTGTGTGTGCTAGTGTGAAGTGGTCGGCTGGTGGTCTAAGAGTCAGGTTGCAATGGCTCCTTCCTAATGTGGCCTCTATGGCATTACCACTCTGTGGAATCCGAGCCAGGAGTAACGGCGTGCCTAGATTCGGCTTCGGACGCGCCGGCCCCCTCTTATGCTTTTGGTTAAAGTCCTGGTGATTTTTGTGTAGTCCAGGTAGTGTGAAGTAGAATGCCAAAGTGCGGGCTCGACCGTGGTATCAACCTGCGCCTTTTGACTCTGTCCTGACAGCGGGTTCAGGTGGGGGGAGGAGGAGAGAGTGTGGTACATGCAGCGCAAGTCTACTCTCACTATAATCCTGTGCAAGCCACGGTCTCTGCTCCCAACCTGCTGTGGGTCATACGGTGGACATAGTCGGATGACCTGTCGGCTGGGAAGGTCCCCAACTGATGATGGAACTCAGACCTCGTAGTCAGTCCAGTGAGTGTGTTTATCCAGAGTGGCTGACTGGTAACCTGGGAGCCAGTCTGCAATGTCTACTTCCTGATGTGACCTCTGGCATTCTCTCGCATTTGAGACCTGTGCCGCCTACCTCACTTCGTGTGTGTTCAGTTCAGTTCAGTTCAGTTCAGTTCAGTTCAGTTTATTGAGGGAAATAGGCGTAAGCCTTTGAGTGTGTGTGTGTGTGTGTGTGTGTGTGTGTGTGTGTTTTAGGGGCCAGGTCGTATATGTGGCACGCACAGTCATATCAGCCACTGTGCCCATTCCTCGCAACAGACGACTGACCCGCTCGGACAGTGGCTAGGGCCTGGATATAAGAATGGAGACTGAGGTTGACGTCTCAGCACATTTTCCTCACTACGAACAATTCGACGCCCCTAAAGGTATCAGGTTACACCAAAATCCGTGACTAGGAAGGTTGCCAATCAACGCGATGAATTTAACTTTGCAGTCAGCCCGGTGTGTGTTTGTGTGGAGTGGCGGACTGAGAGTCAGGCTGCACTGGTTCCCTCTTGATGTGGCGTCTATGGCACTCCCATCCAGTGGGATCCGAGCCACTCCCCCTCTGAACGTTATTGCGTTAAATCCTGGTCAGTGTCCGTTGTGGGCCAGGAGTGTGGTGGTACGCCTGTGTGCGGGTTTATGTCTTGTCAACCGCCTGTGCCCTCTTACGCCTCTTGTCTTGGTCATGACACCGATCCATGTGGCAGAGGAGGAGAGAGTGTGGTAGATTCAGCGCATATCATCATTCCCACTTGTACCCTGCCGTTAGGCACAGGGTGGACATCGTCGGCCACGACGGTCGAGCTGTCATGACCGTTCTGTCCTGTGTAACGACGCAGGATTTCATAAGCTGCTCACAGGGCAGCTAACGAGCCCGCCAAACAACCTCCGAAAAACCGGGACAGGGAAGGATGAAAAATCGATCGGTCCGAGGCCGATTAGCACGACACGCACACCAAGCTCTCCAAAGCGTCAGCATTCCCATAAA